GGTGGAATCACCACCGTCTCCTCCGGTTGAAACACCACCTTCTCCTCCAGCTTTAGCTCCTTCCGGTTCACCGCCATTGCCCTTCCTTCCCGCCAAACCGTCTCCGCCGCCTTCTTCACTTCCCTCCGAGACAGTACCACCGCCGGTAAAAACGATTTCTCCGCCACCTCCTTCACTTCCCGCCGATTCAAACCCGCCGGTGAATATAGCTTCTCCACCACCACCTCCTTCACTTCCCGCCGACTCAAACCTGCCTTCTCCTCCTCGCCGTCGTGGCCCTAAACCTTCCCTTCCTCCTCCCATCACTTCCTCTCCACCAAAACCTTCTCCGACCACTCCATCTCTCCCGGAAACTCCTCCACCACTTAAACCACCGCTCTCAACTACGCCATTTCCCACTTCATCAACTCCACCGCCGAGAAACTCGCCGGCGACAACTCTCCCTTTCTTTGGCCCAGTGGGCCCATTACCGGATAAACCAGCTGAAACAGTAGCATCACCTACTGGGCCCGTTACAGAGCCCAATACAAGTCCCCGCGAATCAACATCTCCGGGAACGCCACAACCACTGGTTCCGAAGAGTCTCCCTGAGACGACGTCGTATCACCGATCTTCCACCGGATTCTTATACGGCGGAGTAATCGTCGGAGTTCTTCTTCTTGTTCTGTTAGGTCTTCTCTTTGTCTTTTACAGAGCTACAAGAAACAGAAATAACACCTCTCGTCATCATCAATCAAAAACTCCATCAAAAGGTATGAAAAATTCAGATTTGTTACCACCACAAAATGATTTGAAACAAGTTTAGTACAATGAACATGGAATCAATTTTATTAGCATATGAAAATGTTTCAGATTGTGGTAATAATAGTTAGGCTCTTCTTGAATGGATCAGTTCAACATCAGCGTGGCGGTAATGTTGGTCCGAATCAAACGCATGTTATCGCAATGCCACCTTCAGTACATGCTAAACCACTAGAATATTCATCAAGTGTAAGGTATGGTGCTAAGGAGAACGGTTCTGTTGCAAAGAACATTACAATGCCATCTGGAATGTTCGCCTACGAAGAGCTATTAGAGGCGACGGGTGGATTTTCAGAGGCTAACCTTTTGGGAGAAGGCGGTTTCGGTTATGTTCACAAAGGAGTGCTGAAAAACGGGAGGGAAGTTGCGGTTAAACAGCTGAAGATTGGGAGCTATCAAGGGGAAAGAGAATTCCAAGCTGAGGTTGACACAATTAGTAGAGTTCATCATAAGCATCTTGTTTCCTTGGTCGGTTATTGCATTAACGGAGATAAAAGACTGTTGGTTTACGAGTTTGTTCCTAAAGATACCTTGGAGTTCCACTTGCATGGTAAAAATATATGTGATTTGAATCCTTTTGAGGATCTGATTTTGTCTTTTATATTCCTTTTTAAGTCATTTTGTTGAGTATTGTGAGAACATGTGTTGTAGGAAACAAAGGAAGTGTGTTGGAGTGGGAAATGAGGCTTAGGATTGCGGTAGGAGCAGCGAAAGGATTAGCATATCTACATGAGGATTGTCAGTTTCTCTTGATAATGGATATGAGGATAACCTTTTTTCGGTTTTTCTGACTCTCCTATTGATTTCTCGTGCATGAAATTGCAGGCAGTCCAACGATAATTCACCGTGATATCAAAGCAGCTAATATTCTTCTAGATTCAAAATATGAGGCAAAGGTAATCTTATCATCAACCATGAACTGCCATGAAATTTCAGTATTTAGTTTGGTTTATAGATAATTAAAACCCAACCAGAAATGAAGGTTCTTGAATTAGATTCGCCCATTTTCAGTTTTACGACAAATTGGCTCATGATTCGGTTTATTTTCATGTCTGCTAAAACTGAATTTCTCGGTTATGTTTTCTTCTGCTTCTTTCAGGTCTCTGACTTTGGATTAGCCAAATTCTTTTCAGACACCAATTCATCAGTCACTCATATCTCTACTCGAGTGGTAGGAACTTTCGGGTAAAACACCATCCATCCATGCTTAATATGTTATGTCATTAGGTTTTAAATATTATCTTACCGTTTCAAGCTTCTTCCTTGTCGTATCGTAAGTCCTGATGAAAAAAGATTTATTGATCACATTCACACCTATATGGTATGCATTTAAACAGATACATGGCTCCAGAATACGCATCTAGTGGTAAAGTAACTGATAAATCAGATGTGTATTCCTTTGGGGTCGTGCTTCTAGAACTCATCACAGGACGTCCATCTATTTTCTCGAAAGACCATACCACAAACCAGAGTTTGGTTGACTGGGTAAGTCAAAATACATGATGATGATGATTATTCCGAATAGATATTAGAAAGAAAGTAAGTCCAAATAACTGCAAGCTTGAAACTTGATTACATTATGAACTTTGATTACGCCTCAGGCGAGGCCATTGCTTGAGAAAGCTATTTCCGGAGAAAGTTTTGACCTTCTTGTAGACCCGATGCTGGAGAAGAATTACGATACAAGTCAGATGGGAAACATGGCTGCTTGTGCTGCTGCTTGCATACGCCAATCAGCTTGGCTTCGGCCCCGAATGAGCCAGGTTTGTCTTAAATATCCGAAATGAAACAGGCCTAATTCACAGATATCTTTTTTTAATATTGCAAAACTGGAATAGGTAATCTGTGCTCTTGAAGGCGAGGTGGCTCTAAGAAAGGTCGAAGAGACGGGAAATAATAGCTCTTCTGAAAACCCAAATGACATCACACTACGGTATGGTACAAGTAAAAGGAGATTCGACACGGATTCAAGCGATGGTTACACTTCGGAATATGGAATCAACCCTTCTCAATCGAGCAGTGAACAACAGCAACAGGTGAGCTAGTTTACAGGTTCTACAGAGCAAGTTTCAGCTTAACAAATTGGCTTAGGATGCAATCATCTTGGTGTTACCAAAATGTTCTAAGATTATTAGCCAACTTCAATTCATTTGTAACGTCAATGTAAAAAAGGTTCCCAAGAACACTACTTGTGTTCTAGCTTTTACAGTGAATTTTAAAATTTGGGGATATTTGATTGTATAAAAAAATATCTTGTAATTTATGGGTACATTAACATAAGATTCACTGTATCTCATGTTAATTTATATTTCTTGTTGCTTTTAATTAGTATACATTTAAATT